ATGTACCATATGTTAACTACACAAACAAACATGTAGAACATGATTACACATACAGACATTAAATTATTAGTCTACCATAAATATGTACCATATGTTAACTACACAAACAAACATGTAGAACATGATTACACATACAGACATTAAATTATTAGTCTACCATAAATATGTACCATATGTTAACTACACAAACAAACATGTAGAACATGATTACACATTTACAAATACCACATGCTAGATTATTAGTCTAAAACAAACAGATGATGCATGTTAACAATAAACTGCCAGCATGCTTCTTAATGCAAACACAGACAAAATTGTTATACAACATAATGGTGCATGTCAGCAATATACAACCAGTACACTTTTATAACACATAAACATGTAGAACATAATTACATAACATATTTTAAATTGTTGATTCAGGCTATTCATGCAAACCTATAGAAGGGCTATCTGTGGTAGCTGGCCCTAGTTTTGAGCTGATAGACTAGAGGGAACACAGCTATTCAACATCACCCACCACCAACTCTAGGGCTACTCTAATCGAATTGTGGGACTTGACCATCACTCTTGTGGCACACCCACCCCCTCCAAACTGTTGAACACTATTTGTTGATTTAAGTTTGTACTTGATGCTGTATTAGTTGTCCAGTTTCTAATGTAAAAATCAGATGTAATATCAATATGCTGGTATTCAAAGATACTTGGCTATAGTATCTTTCAACTGTGGTTTCTTTTCTTCTCATTCAAATAATTTTCAATAAATGTGAAATTAAACTTAAAAAGTTACTACTAACTTACACATTTCTACTTGTCATACAAGATACTGTGTTTTAAACATTAGTGACTTTGCACATTTCCACTGGTCATAGAAGATACTATGTTTTAGTCACTAGTCACTTACAAATTTCCACTTGTCATAAAAGATACTGTGTTTTAGTCACTACTAACTATACATTTCCACAGGTCACACAAGATATTGTATTTTAGTCACTAGTCACTTGCACATTTCCACTGTTATAAAAGATACTTTGTTTTAGTCTATGGTTATACAAGATAGTATTTTAGTCTCTACTAACTACACGTTTTCCACAGGTCATACAAAATACTATGTAGCAGTCACTAGTAAACTACACATTTCAGCAGGTTGTACATGACACTGTATTTTATTCACTACTGATTCCTACAAGATAGTATGTGTTAGTCACTACTGATTATTTGTTTCCACTGGTCTTACAACACACTATATTTTTTTCAAAACCAATGTACACATTTCCACTGTTCATACAACATAGTGTGTTTTAGATTCTAACTATGTTATTTTCACTAGTTGTAGAAGACACTATGTTTTTGTCACTTTTAACTTCACATTTACACTGGTCAAGTCATACAAGTTACTATATTTTAGTCACTATACATATATACATTTATTTATATATACTGAACATAAAAATGTCATTTTGGAGACCAAACTTCAATAACTTCTTTTTTAAGTATGTTTACAGAATAAATGTGTGATACACATTTTACTGGTCACTATGTCCAAGCTTGACTTTAGAAAGATGCATTGTAATGGGTGATGAACAAACCTTCATGATGGGCCCTTTGGATGGGATTGAGCCTGTGTGGCCAAAGGATGATTCACTACGTGAGGACTGTGAGGCATTAGAGCTGGGCTTGGGTCTGAATGGAGACATGGATTGGCTGACCCCCTTGGCGAGAGTAAACTGTTCCCGTAACTCAAGATTTGTGCGTCTCTTTGCTGGTAACAAACACAACAAAAATGTGCCATGCAAGTGATTGTGAAAACCAAAACCATTCTAAGATGCAACAGTACAAGCAATAAATCTTTAAAAAACACAGGATATCAGAAAAAAATTAATCAACCAAATAAATAATTTTCTTCCTTATCACACAGGCTACAAAACATAAAAAATAAATTCAGAAAATTAGAATCAAATGTTATGTATGAATGGGCCTTAATAAACAGTTGTTTTCTTCATTTTACAGTAAGTGAGTTTTGTTTGTAAAGAAAATAAAACATGCTTAGTTGGAAATAGAAGGGAAGACTAAGAAAGTTATCTTAAATGCTGTTCTTTAGTATAAAGCAGATATCACATCAACTGACTAACAATCAAAAACATATTGGACATGATAAGATAATTTTGTATGTTAGTACTGGACAAGAATATAGCAACAGACATAGTAACATTGTACATAATAACACAAGGGACAGAGAGGAACACGAATACAGTCACATAGCTTGATGATATACTACCAGTCAAATAAGTCAGTAATTAGTTAGAGAATGACAGAGTTCAGAAGATATCTATAATATGATAAATTTGTTGAATTATTAATCTCGTCAGTTTTAATGCTTCTTCCCTCTTATCTATGAATAGAAGGGTAACAAAAATTATGATAATAGTAAAAAAAATATTTATCTCACAATAATGAAAATAGTACTAAGAATTTGTTAGAAAGAGTGAAAAGTACAATGATTAAGACAAAAACTGTTAAAAAGTTATAGAAAAAATTACCATTACAGAGTATAAAAGTAAGGAAAATTCAAATTAACATGACTTCTATCAGAAAGTATTAACCAAAAATTTTGTGTATGCCTATATTTTAATGTACAACAATACAAAGTAAAGACAAAAAATCATGTAAGTACTTTAAAATATAATAATTCCAAAACATACTTATCTCCTCTGATACTTAATGTATTACTCTACCTCCAGGGTTTCTTTTTTTGCCTATTTAAGCATTGTTCTGATTTTTTTCTCGCTTGGTCCAGTCTCTTATACTCCACTCAGTTGTCCTTGGCAATATTTATCTCATGATACTCTCCACTTACGTCAGTGCGCCCTCTATCCTGGTACTGTATATAAGCACCTCATTCAGATAATGTTATCATTTTTTCTTGACAAAGCGTCACTAAAGGGTTTCCCTGTATTACGATTATTGAGAGATACTTTGAATATTATTGTGTTATCTAGTTGATTTTTGTAAAAATAATAATAATAATTGTTTTTTTTCCAATTGGCAAGTCAATTTACAGTATGAATTCCAGATTATTATTTCTGGCATGGAGGCAAATTGTGTCTATCCTATCCCACCTCTGATATCCAGTGTCTAACAACAATGACGGGGTCACTTTTGGGTGAGACTGTCAGTGATCTTATTCGTAGTGAGATGGAGACATATAATCGGATCTGTGATGGTCCTCTGAGGCTGCATTTGAGCATGATCCTCGACACTGTGAAGAGACTTTAGATTCACCTTTTCCAATGACTTCTTTTAGTCTGTTGCTCTAACAAACCAATTTTACCTCGCAAAATACTGTTCCAATGAACGGTGATCAACAGTCTTTAAATGACCTATGAAAAATGAAAAGGAGGCCTCTTTGGGATAAGCTTCCTTTGATTTTACTAAATAGAGTTGTTTAAACATTTGTTTAACAACAAGTAAAAGCTTGGAATGGTCTGTTCTTTCATTGGGATGTGTGTCTGTGAGCCAGACTAGTTTCGAAAACTTCCACTCCTCATCAGTGACCCTGGACACTACCAATGAAATATCAAGCCAAGCCTTTGTAGTAGTGAGGTATCGAATACCGAACTGGTGTATTTAAGTGTTT